TAGTTTATGTATATATATATATGTGGTGTGTGTGTGTGTGTGTGTGTGTGTGTGTGTGTGTGTGTGTGTGTGTGTGTGTGGCAGGACTGCATCAAGATCTGTTCAGTACTTTGTGAAAACAATGACAACACTATCTCGCCTCTCTCTTTGCGTCCTTGGCTTATGATAAATGGATCAGGGACACAATGCTTACTTAGTGTCTTACATCTTTCATGCTTTTGATTCCATTTCTATATCAGATAAACCTAACAACAGAGGTAGATATGATCGAAATGTATGTTTCTTGCAACTTGGATAAAAATTGGGAAGGGAAGGGGGACCTAAAAATAGAGCAGATAGTCCATGTTGGAACAAGCAAGGTCAGGTTAAAATCAAGGGTCAAAATAAACTGTCCACGGTTCAGAGCTGAAGTGACCACACACACAAACAAACAGATTACAAGAGAGGTGATGAAGGGTGTTTCAAGGGTCAGAATGTAGAGTTGATGACCTACGAAAACAAAGAGGTGTTCTCCTTGCAACACTATTTGGCACCCTAAGGGTTGTTCCAAGGGGTCATGAACACAAGCACACGGGTCACAGGTGGCTGAGTCCAAAAATGAGAAGTACTTTTAAGTTGAGCTGAGGTTATATGGCTTCGGTTCCTTGCCAGGCTTGTTAGAGCTTCCTTCTGTACACTTATCTACACTTGAGCTATAACTCATCCTAATATATTGCTTAATCTTTACATTTTATATTCACAACAGCGCTCTGTGATTCTGTGATGTAATTCTGATATCAGATTAATTGAATTATTCAGCCAACCTTGACTTGTTACAGTAGATCTGAACTATTGATCAGTGGAAGTCACCTTTGATAATATGATGCTGATATATTTCAGTTCAAGATGGACCTGTGTTTGTGAACAGCTTTTTGTCTTTTGGTATCCGCAGACTTTACAGTGGTACAGATAAAAGTAGAAAGAGTGTATTTAGCTTGTATGTCCCGACTAAAATAAAGGTCAAACGGAGGTGGTAGAAAAATATGTGGGTCATCTTTATTATGGTCTTGGTCTGAGGCCAATTGCATCTATTAGTCCCACAAGAATGTCACCTTTCTAACCTGGATCTTAGCCGTGGGCACTTAGCCTACCTATGACCCCTTAGTTGGGCCTGCTTTCTAGTAAGCTTTGCTCTTTGTAAAGGTTTGTTGTAATCCCCCATCCCTCTCCATCTTCATTTGTTTCTGGTGGTTGAAGTCGAATGCCA